CCCCGCTGGAATGAGGTGTACCGGTAGTTCGGAATAGGAATCCTAGTTCGAACTACCTAGTTCGAGCCCCGTGTAGCCGCGCTGCACGGGGTTCGAACCAGCGGGGTTTTAAAAATGGCGAATCCCCGCTTATGCAAATGAAGCCCGGGAAATTCAAATCCCGGGCTTCATTTGCAAGTGTGGTATGCCTACATTACCCTCCTAGTTCGAACTAGGAGGGTAGTGTAGACATACCCCAAGTTACGACCACCTCTACTTACGACCATCCGCACTTATGACCAAAGCGATCATAAACGCGGATCCGAGTTACGAACGGCGATCCGTGCTTATGAACAGCGCAATCGCCATGTAACTCTATGGGAGCTGAGTTACAAACACTTCGAGTTACGGACCAAGTATTGGTCCGTAACTTGTTCGTAACTTGGGGAGTGGCTGTACAGTCCTCAAAATTGGCATAACTGAGTGAATTTTGAAAGACACTGAACCAAGATGAGCCAGAAAAATAGGATGAACCTAGAATAGGATTGCTTCTCAATAAACCTGACAGAAAAGAGATAAAACAGAGAAATTCTGAGGAGTGCTCTAATTGCTTCTCAATAAACCTGACAGAAAAGAGATAAAACAGAGAAATTCAGAGTAGTGCTCTATTTTGGCACAGGTAACTCAATGCTTAAGTTGTAAAAATTAGAAGACAATGTTATTGGAAACCAAATTGACTAAGGCTTTTCTCATTAAAACATAGCATATAAGAGTTTATAGGAATGGGGGGGGAAAGACTACACTTTATGGAATTCCCATTTTAAAAAAATTTACAAAAAAAAATTAAACAAACACATTTTAACAATCCCTTTTTTAAGAAATCCAAAATAAAAATTAACTTCATAAAATAACACTGTTTTTGAAAAATACAATCATTTAAATAAAGCGTGAACATTTTCCTTTTATTTACCAAAAAAATAAACCTCCATTGAGTTAAGGACTCGAGCAACGCTGAGTAAATCTGCTAGTAAAAACTAAAGCAAGTGCTGTTCAGAAGAAGAATAAATTTGATGTCTAGCAAACTGGTGTTCTCAAAAACTAGCTCAGATTTGCAAATCTTTTGAAAGTCCTGGGTTTCTCAAGCCTGATTCAGTTTTAGAAAACAACCATAACATGTTTTTACCTACAGAAGAATTTGCCTGGAATTTACACCAACCATGCATCTGACCTATTGTATTTTTAGAGACATTTTTCTCTCTTTCCTACTGCTGTTCTTTATGCAGAGTTTCTCTGTGTTTGTTTCCACAGTGCTTGCTGCAGATTCAATTGAATTCTTTCAGCTCCTTTTATTCAGTCTTTCCTAAGTAGAATGCAAACTCAATAACACTCTAATTTGAGCCAAACTTTCAAGGCTTTGATAGGCTTGAAGTGAAGCAAACAGAGTCTGCCATTCCAAAATGATCAGCTATTGGGAATGGAAGATCTGTAACTATAAAATTGCTCATCTGTTAGAGGGAGAGGGGTCTAGGCCTTCATGTCTATCTATTAGCTCTGACCGCTTTAATTTTGTGTGTCTTCCTGACAGACATTCTTGCTAGCCCTCCAGTCCCTGATATTGTGGAGGTGTATGAGGATGGCGCGCAAGTGGTCTGGAAACCCATGGAATCTAACACCGCAGTTACTTATGCTGTACAGTGCAAGTGTGAAGGTAAAGCAGAAGTAGATAGTCTCCATTTTTCATTAATGTTATCATTAGAACTTATTACTACTAGTACTGTAATGCCTTGGAGTCATAGCCCTGGATCAAGGCCTCATTGCGCCAGGCGCTGTACAAACGATAAAAGGACCGTCCATATGCCAATGAACTTACAGTTTCTCATTAGAATCCTATTGATGGAACTTCTGAGTTTACAAGATTGTTTACAAGACAATTTTCTTGATTCAAAGATAGTTATATTTTTAGTCATATATTGTTTGGGCTGCCTGATTCATTCGGGGCCTGATCCAAAGCCCACCGAAGTCACTGAGAAATCTTCAATGTACTTCAGCTGGCCTTTTATAAGAATCTATAGAGCCTCACCTCTCTGTTGAGTTCCTATTATTAGTAATATTTATTATTAATAATAATAAATATTAATCTTTTAGCAACTACAGATCATAACCACGTTGGGCCTAGAATCTCCAGAGATGGAGATTCTACAAACTCCCTAGGCAATTTATTCCCGTGTTTAACCACCCTGACAGGTAGGAAGTTTTTCCTAATGTCCAACCTCAACCTCCCTTGCTGCAATTTAAGCCCATTGCTTCTTGTTCCATCCTCAGAGGCCAAGGAGAACAATTTTTCCCCCTCCTCTCTGTGGCACCCTTTTAGGTACTTGTCCTGCTCTCATGTCCCCTCTAGGGCAGGAGAGCTGCCAGCCTGGCCACCCAGGACCAGGTGTGCATGAAAATCAAGGGGGTCCACTGAGACCCCCGACCCTGAGCCCTGAGCTTACAATGGCCGTCCTGGGTCAGACCAAAGGTCCATCTAGCCCAGTAGCCTGTCTGCCAACAGCGGCCAACCCTAGGGACCCTGGAGGGGATGGACCGAAGACAATGACCAAGCCATTTGTCTCGTGCCATCCCTCTCCAGCCTTCCACAAACTTTGGGCAGGGACACCACTCCTACCCTCTGGCTAATAGGACTCCATGGACCCAACCTCCATGACTTGATCTCACTTCCCTTTAAACTCTGTTCTAGTTGTAGCCTTCACAGCCTCCTGCAGCAAGGAGTTCCACAGGTTAACTATTTGCTTTGGGAAGAAGAACAACTTTCTCTTACTAGTTTCAAGCCTGCTACCCATTCCTTTCCTTTGGTGTCCTCTAGTCCTTCTTTATGGGAACTCATGAAGAACTTTTCTGAATGCACCCTCTCCACCCAACCCCTGCTTTTAGAGACCTCTATCCTGTCCCCCCTCCGTCTCCTCTTTTCTAAGCTGAACAGTCCCAGTCTCTGTAGCCTCTCTTCATCTGGGACCTGTTCCCAACCCCTGATCATGTTAGTTGCCCTCCCCTCTCCCAGCCTTTCTCTTCCCCTCTCCCACCTCCTTTTCCCAGTCTCCCCCAGTTTTTTTTCAATAAAGACAGAGTCAATGTTGGAAGAAACGTTATCTTTATTTTGTACATCAGGAAGGGGGGCTAGGGAACGGTAAGTGGAAGGAGGTGAGGGAGGAATGGGGTATGAGCCCCCGATGGGGAGGACTGGGCTGGCTCTGCGGGCTTCTGGGGGTGGAAGCTCTCCTGCAGCCCCCCAATTACTCCCTCTCCCCAGATGGCAGCCTGCGGCAAGTGCAGCCGGGCTGATGGCCGAGTTGTGTGATGTGCCCAGTGTGGGCACTCAGGGCACTCCAAGCCAGAACTTCTTTGCAAGCGGGGCACCCCTTAGAACTGTGTGTCCGGGGTGGGGGTCGGGACCCTTTAAGCGCAGCCCTCGGCTAGCCTGAGACAGCATCTCCATGCTCTAAGTCCTCCTCTTATGCCCTGCCGGCACTGCTTCCAGCCATCCTTAAGCCCTGTTCAGAGTCCACTCAATGTGGACTTGCTAGTTCGAATTAGCAAAACGCTAATTCGAACTAGTTTTTAGTTCTAGACGCGTTAGTTCGAACTAGCGCTGTAGTGTAGACGTACCCTCAGTCTTCCCTCAGAGCTCATGTTTTCTAGGCCTTTAATCATTCTTGTCGCTGTTCTCTGGACCTTGTCCAATTTCTCCACATCTTTTTTGAAATGTGGTGCCCAGAATTGGACACAATTCTCCAAATGAGCCTTACATGAACTAAAACTACAAACACATTCACAGCCACCCCCGGAAATGAGCCTGGCAGAGCTCTGATATAAAATACCTGGCTTCAGAAGTGAAAATAGGAGACATGACAAGGCACTGTGAGGTTATCCTTCATGTCGGTGGAGCTGCATCATTTCAATACGGCACCAATGCTCTGTACTCCCAGAACACCCGAATTGATGGACGAATTGGTTCTAACCTGTGTGTCTCTGTCCTTGGCTAAGGTGGTGAGTGGACGACTCTTGTTACTGACATAGCTGACTGCTGCTACTATGCCAACAATCTCTCCAGGGGTTTGGTGTACTCCTTCCGAACGGCCTGCATCAGTAAAGCTGGAATGGGACCTTACAGCAGCGCATCTGCCAGAGTAAAGATTGGTGAAAAAGACCCATCAGGTGAACCCCTTCTTTGGGCATGCACGCTAGAGGGTGTGGAGTATAATTCTGGAGGCACATCAGACCTCTGATGTGTTGTAGAGCAGGGAGGACAAGAATTTGGAAAGTGGTTAAGAGCTGCACTCTTCCATGTTAATGGAGGAGGTGCAGGGTCTGGGATGGAGGCTGAATGCCGAAGGGAGCTTCCAGTAAGGAACTGGGGTTCAGGAGAGGCTGTGGAGTCTGGGAGGGAGTTTGGGTGCAAAAGGGAGCTCAGGGTAGAAGACTGGAGTACACGAGGGGGTGCAGGGGTTTGAGCTGTGACATGGGGGCAGGGAATTAGGGTATAGGATCTGGGAGGCGATATGGGAGCACGAGGGGGCAGAGTATTTGGGTTATGTGGGATGGGGGGCAGAGGCAGGCTCTAGCTCAGAGATTTACCTGCTTGACTCCTGGCCAGCAGCCTTCTCAAGCAGACCGCCTGCCTGCCTCACCCCCGCACTGGCTGAAGGGGCCAGGTGGTTTTTGGTCAGCTACAAGCCTGAGGGGAGGGAGGAAGGGTGCTTCACAAGCTGCCTGTTGACAACGGGCAGCTCCCATTGGTTGGAAACTGGCCAATAGGATTGTGCTGGGGCGGGGGCATCTCATGAGGCCTCTCCTCCCTCTCCTGGGCTCACAGCTGTTCAAACAAAGCCATGCAGCAACCGTTTTTCTCAGCAGCATGTGGGGGGCAAGCAGGGAGTCTGACTAAGGTTCCCCACTGCATCTGTGGGCTGGATCTGGCGGCTGGGGGGGCCTGCAGAAGGTATTTTGCCCAGGCCTGCTGTAGAGTTTTAAATCCCTGGGTGCTGTTGGTCGCAAAAGTGTGGCCGTGTTGGTCTGTAACTTTTAAAGCAATAAGCAGTCCTGTGGCACCTTAGAGACTAATACAAATATTTAGGATCATGAGTTCTCGTGGGTAAAACCCACTTAATCAGATGAGTCGGCGTAGAAATAACAGAAACCAAGAGATATATAACAGCAAAAGTACCGCCCCTGCCTTTCATGTTCACATTTTCACATCAAGAGCTATGAATGGGACACAGCCAGCCCACTTAATTAGCCTCATTAACATGGGTCCTACAATTGACAGGGACTTCTTTTGTCCCCGAGGGATGACAAAGCAAAGACTTGGGCTGAGCCCAGTGTTGTTTTCCCGTATTCATCCACGTCTCTTCCTCTCTAGTGTCTCAATCTGCAGTGCAGACGTTCCCAGCTGCTGCAGAAGAGGAGAGTGAACTAATGGCACCAGCCGAGCCATTTCCGACCCAGCAAACCTACGCTTTCCAGACCGAGATTAAAAGGTATAAAGGACAGAAACCCAGTTACCCACTCACCCATGCAGGGGGAATGCTGCACATCACTTCAGCGTGGACCTGGAAACTCGAAAATGTCACTTTTATAAACCTACCAGCCACCTTCACTTACCTGTCCATTTACCGCTCGGCTTTAATTAAAAAAAAACGCTAGCTCAGGGTACCAGGCGTTGCCTGGCTGCCTGCCTCTCGTGTGACTTGATTTTAGCAAGGCTAAGAGAACCCTGAGCCAGACCCTGCTCAAAGGGACACGTGGAGAGTCCTCACCGGTCCATAGACACACTCAGCAATAACTCATTCCACTTCCCTGGAGATTGCTGTCGAGCATGTGAGGTTCATAGCAAGAAAGGGATCTAGGGGTCACAGTGGGTCACAAGCTAAATATGAGTCAAAAGTGGGACAGTGCTGCCAAAAAAGCAAACATGATTCTGGGAGGCATTAGTGTTGTGAGCAAGACACGAGAAGTCATTCTTCCACTCTACTCTGCGCTGGTTAGGCCTCAGCTGGAGTATTGTGACCAGTTCTGGGCACCACATTTCAAGAAAGATGTGGAGAAATTGGAGAAGGCCCAGAGAAGAACAACAAAAATTATTAAAGTTCTAAAAGACATGAGCTATGAGGGAAGGATGAAAGAATTGGGCTTGTTTAGTTTAGGTAAGAGAAGACTGGGAGAGGACATTATAGCGGTTTTCAAGTATCTAAGAGGAATTGTTCTCCTTGGCCTCTGAGGATAGGCCAAGAAGCAATGGGCTTAAGTTGTAGCAAGGGAGGTTTAGGTTGGACATTAGGAAAAACTTCCTAACTGTCAGGGTGGTTGAAGTACTGGAATAAATTGCCTAGGGAGGTTGTGGAAACTCCATCCCTGGAGATATTTAAGAGCAGGTTAGACAGACCCCTGTCAGGGATGATCTAGATCAGGCCTACTCAACTTTGGATGCCCCAGAGGGCCACAATGATGCTCACAGCACATGCCGAGGACCGCAACTTAAGTGTGGTTGCATATACATGCATATATATATATGCAAATAGCGTCTTTCACACTTACGGGCATGAATACAAAGATTAAGGCAAGACTACACAACACGCAGGCCCCATTTAAGTCAGTTCTGCTGATATTAATAAAATACAATATTTACCTGATTTCCACCCATATGACAGCACTTTTAATGAGCAATCACAGTCCAGGAATTTAGTTACTAAAACACATAGCAACAGAAGACCATTATATTGACGACTTTTTTGTTTTGGCTTCCACCTATGGGCTGCGTGTTGAGCCCCGCTAAAATCCAAACCACACTGCGGGCCACAAACAAACGGTCCGCGGGTCGCATGCAGCCCATGGACCACATGTTTAGTGGTCCTGCTTTAGACGGTGCTTGGTCCTGCCATGAGGGCAGGGGACTGGACTAGATGACCTCGCAAGGTCCCTTCCAGTTCTAGTGTTCTAGAATTCCGTGATTCTACGTGATAGCTCTCAGCATGTGAGTGTGCAAGAATAGTAGTGCAGCGGGGTATGTGGCGGCACAGGTCAGCCATGCTGAGTACGTACCCATGGAGTTGACGAGTATGTACTCGGCATGGCTAGCCCTTGCTGGAACTGCTTGTGCTGTTCCAGCCACATTGCTATCTTTAGCATCCTTGCCCAATGAGAACCAGCATGGTTTTGTGTTTGTCCAGGTGGTGCACATTTGCACATGCATTGGTGCACAAAGCAAAAATTATTCCACACCTGGATGGAAATGATTATAGAGGGAACATAGATCACAGGGCATGAATGCACAATAAGCAGTAGGATGCTGCTTGTTCGAAGGCAGGGCAGAACCTGGCTCAGGCCCCCTGCTTCCAAGAGCAGCAGCAGAAGTCTAACTTGCTGTTTGTTTTTGGTGCTCCAGAGGGCGTTTCAGCATCATGAGACAGTGCAGGGAAAAACTAAGTGGAAAAGCGCAGGCTGCCAAAATCATCCCCTACCGGCCAGAAGACAAGCAGGCGGTGCTCCAGGAATACCAGGTCCTGAGAAAGCTTCATCACACGAACATAGTTCAGCTGCAAGGAGCCTACGTGAGCCCCCGGCACCTCGTGCTGATCCTGGAATTGTGCGCTGGGCCAGAGCTACTGCACTCTTTGGCCGCAAGGTAGGCAGCCCCCTCTACCTGCTTGGTCTGCTGCTGGTTTAGCAAGTGAGATATGTGTCCTGTGCATTCGTCCCTACCCATAGAGCCTCTGTATCTGCCCATGTTTTCCCCCAGCCTGTACTTGCGATACATCCCCTGTACTCCCCGGAGACTTGGCTGGCCCTTTGGCTTCATTGATCAACCACGCAACAGTACCTAGGGGCACCAGTCTTCTTCCAGCCACCCCCAGAGATGGGGAGCAGCAAGTATTTTCTGCATCTCTTTGCTGCCTCGATTCCCAGAGTCTCTCGTTAAATCCCACCTGGGGGTGTGGCCTTGAGAGGCTATGCATGCTGGCTGAGCGTCAGTCCTGGCTGCAAGGTGTAAATGAGCAAGATCCGGCATGGGGATTGTGTGTAGCACTGGCCCCTTTCCCCCTATTGCTCCTTCAGCTCCCGCCTGTGGGAAGAACTGGCCAGAGGAAATCTTCCATGTAAGCAGGCTAAGCCTGTGATCTGAGCACAGGAGTGTTAGAACAGAACAGGTGACCCAAAGGCAGATCTGCACCTTTCTTGCAGATACTTGTACCATCCAGGATCCTGCCTACCTGGGATGCGAGTGAGCAACAAATGAACCCCAAGTTACACCTTTTTTATCTTAGGTAGTGTGTAAATGCACTTATCAATTGCATCCCTCTCTAAGCCCTGACCTAGTAATGTGAACCCCCATCTAATGCATCCTCAGAACCAGGTGATGAGACAATGATACCCGACCCCGTTGACTGTTTGCAGCTTTTTAGCTGATGTCGGCAGTTCTCACGTCACACAACTCCTTGAATCAGCACCTTAACACGGGGACAGGAGAGGTGACCCTGAATGTGTATTTCAGAGCAGCTCAGGGAGCAAAGAAAAGAGCATGGCTAAGACACAGGCCATTCGTTAAAAAGCGACATCTTGGATACAGCTGCTGGCTCCTCTATCCTGAGCAAGCCACGATGGAGGAACCAAAACAAATCAATAGAAGCAGGGTCTGCCTGAGCCGTGCCCTGTTACCATGGTCACAGCTACCAAGACGCCTTATTTGACCCTTACGTACCCCAACAAGGTGCTGTATCCGCATTCTCATCTGCTACTGACTCCCGCTGTGCCCAGTCTCTTAACCTCTCAGCCTCGGATTTCATCTGTACCACAGGCATCCCCGTATTGACTTCCCTTCCCCTGGAGGTACTTTGTGAGGCTTAACGGGTAATATCCATGACGTGTCTACAGCAGATGAGAAGGGCTGAATGTTGTTGTCATTACAAGTTAGGACTCAAGGGGGAATTTTCCCCTTGACCTCAAGCGGAAGCCAAACCAGGCCGTTAAAATATGAAGAAAGGAAGGAAGGAAGGATGATTAGGATTTTTACTGTGTTTCCTTTGCCAGGACGTCCTATTCGGAGGTGGAAGTCAGGGACTATCTGTGGCAAATTCTCAGTGCGGTTGAGTACCTCCATGCACACCGCATCCTGCACTTGGACCTGAGGTCTGAGAACATGATCATTACCGAACCCAACCTGCTGAAGCTCCTGGACTTTGGCCATGCACAGTTCTACACGCCGGGCAGAGTCATTACCCTGGAGCACTGCACAGATTACGTGGAAACCACAGGTGAGTGCGGCACTCAGTGCGGTGTGAATGCTGAGTCGGCATGACCTCGCGCCCCAGCCAGATGGAGGGCCGGACTAGGACAATGGTAGGAGCAACACTTGACAGGTGTGTTTGCAGATGCTCCTGTTCATTGCCAGCTACGCGGAAATGGGCTGGCCGGCTTTCTCTTCCACTCTCCCCGCTTGGGCTGCCAGGGAGGTTAGAGACCTGGATGTTCCTGCAGTCTCCAGAATTCCCCCTGAATTTCCTGGAGTTCCGAGCGGTTTGAGCCTGCCGGTTGCTAATCCTGCCCTGCACTTGGCTGGCTGCAGGGGATAGACTGGAGTGGAAAAAGCAGCCTTCCCAGCTTGCTTGTTGCACTGACTCGGTGAACTGAACGGGTAACTTCATCAGTCCCACACTGGTGGATTTAAAATGTGAGACACGCCCTTGTGAGGCCCAGCATCTCGTCATGAGCATGAGGCATGAGACACCCTCATGCTGATGTTGCTTCTTGTCCTATCCTCAGAGGCCAAGGAGAATGGGAGGGCGGTGAAGCACTGGGATGGGTTCCCTGGGAGGGGGGAAACTGCCATTCCTAAAGATTTTTAAGTCTCAGCTTGACAAAGCCCTGGATGGGATGATTGTGTTGGATTGGTCCTGCTGTGAGCAGGGGGCTGGACTTGATGACTCCTGAGGTCTCTTCCAGCCCTAGGGTTCTGTGAGGAGCAGAGCTAATGTGTGCCCAGTCCTTTCTCATTTACACCGGTTACTTCTTGGGTTACTTCCGATTACCACAAGCATAAGTGAGAGGAGAGTCATGTCCATAAAATGCAGACAACGCAGTCGCCACGTGGGCAAAAGCAATGAACACAGCCCTCGAGTTGCTGTCTGTACCTACTGAAGACACAGTTGTCTGGAGATGTGTCCGTAGATCTCCATGTGTTTGGTTTCTTAAGTTCAGGGAGGAAGCTCTTTTGGGTTGAGGCCACAGAAAAATCACTCAGGGGCCACACACAAGTGAGAAGCTATAAAAAAGCTTCACTGACTTGGCAAAGTGAGGGGATCGGTGTGCTGGAGGGGGCTGCGAGGGAGTGGGCTGGGGATATGGGTGCGGGGTTTGGGCAGGAGGGAGGGTGCAGGTGTAGGTTGGGGGTGCAGGCTCTGGACAGAACGGAGGGAAGGTTCAGGAGTGGGCTGGTGTGGGGCCTGGGTAGGAGCAGGGGTGTGGGAGGGGGGCAAGGGATTCGGGCACCTACTGGTGCAGTTCCCGAGGGGGCACAGGCGTCTTCGCGCAGCTCTGCATGCTGCATGGAAGTGCTCCCTGCAAGCACCGCCCCCCACCGCTCCCATTGGCCACAATTCCCAGCCAATGGGTGTGACGGAGGACTGTGTCTGCAGGGAGCATGCAAAACATCCTCCCCCTACCAAGCAGAGGCCGTGGGGAGAATCTGGCCTGCGGGCCGTAGATTCCCATCCCCACTGTAGTGACGCGGGATGTTCACAGGGTGTGATACATCAGCCTGTTCTCTGTAACAGACCTTTCCCTCCTCCTCACCTGGGAGTGTAGCAAAGGTTCAAACTAGCACCCAGTGCAGGGAACGCCACTCACACTCTTCTGCCCTTGTAGCTCCAGAACTGCTGTCGGAGCAAGGAGCCCTCCCGCAGACTGACATCTGGGCTGTGGGCATCACCGCGTTCATCATGTAAGTTGTTCCCTTGCAAAGAACCGGGAGCAGTAGTGACTAATCACAAGGGGGACTTACCTGGAATCACAGAAACGTGGTGGGATCGTTCACACGACTGGAGTATCGGTACAGAAGGGTACAGCTTGCTCAGGAGGAGCAGGCAGGAAACACCGGAGAAGGTGTTACCTTGTATATTTGCACGGAGGTGGAGATGGAGGAGGGGGGCAGACCCGTTGAAAGTCTCTGGGTACAGATAAAAAGGGTAGAAAGCAAAGGTAGTGCCGTGGTAGGAGTCTACTGTAAAAGAAGAGGTGGATGAGGCTTTTTTCAAACAAGTAGCAAAGTGTCCAAAGTACAAGACTTGGTGGTGATAGGAGACTTCAGCTACCCAGACAGCTGCTGGGAAAATAGCACAGCAGGGCATAGAGTATCTAGCAAGTCCTTGGAATGCTTTGGAGATAATAGTTTATCCCAGAAGTGGGAGAAAAGGGAGACGCTATTCTAACATTGACTCTGACAGACGGGGTGGGAACAGGGGGAACAGGTTGAGAATCTGAAGGTGGGAACACAGCAGAATAAAGAGAGTGGACTTCGAGAAGACAGACTTCAGCAAGCTCAGAGAACTGGTAGGTAAGATCCTGCCAGAAGCAGGGAAAGAAGAGTTCAGAAGAGTTGGCAGTTTTTTAGAGAGACAATATTAAAAGCACAAGAGCAAACTACCCCAATGTGTAGGAAGGATGAGACACCACTCTGGCTTAAGCAGGAGATCTTGGAAGCTTTTAAAAACAAGTTGGACCACTACCTGTCATTGATGGTCTAGGTCAGGGCTGGGCAAAATATGGCCCGGGGGGGCCGGATCCGGCCCACGAAGCCACCGGATCCAGCCCTTGGACCACCCTGCCAGGACCCTCAGGTGCACAGCTGACACAGGTTTAAAATGCAGTCCAGTGACTCTCTGCTCCGGATCTCGGGTGATCTCCCCACCCCCAGTCCAAGCCTCAGCTCCCATTGTCTGGAAACAACCAGCCAATAGGAGCTGAGAGATTAGCCTGGAGGAAGGGGGCAGTGCAAGCCTTTTCCCCTTCCTGGAGCTGAGAGCCACATGGAGGGAACAGCCTGCAGCTCGAAGTGATCTGGGGCTGCAGCAGGCGGGGAGCCCAGCCTGCCTTGGGAGCACTGGCCAGGAGACTCTTAGGTAAGCGCCTCCCAGCCAGAACCTGTCTCTAGCACCTCTGCCCCTCCCGCACCCCAACTCCCTCCCCCAGGACACCATCCAGACCCTCTGCAGTCCTCTGCCTGCACTGGCCAGGAGACTCTTAGGTAAGCGCCTCCCAGCCAGAACCTGTCTCTAGCACCTCTGCCCCTCCCGCACCCCAACTCCCTCCCCCAGGACACCATCCAGACCCTCTGCAGTCCTCTGCCTCAAGTCACAGCTCCCTCCCAGACTCTGTACCTCCCTTATACTCCTTCCCCAGGCCAGAATCCTCTCCTGCATCCAAACACCCTCCCAGACCCTGTACCCCAATCCCCTGGCCCCCGTCACAATCTCCTCCTTCACCCAAACTCCCTCTCAAACCTCACACTGTCTCCTGCACTCCAGTCCCTTACCCTGTGCGCCTTTCTGCACCCAACCTCCATCCTAGACCCCGCAAGCCCTCCACAGAAAGACATAGCCCTTGACCACTTTCCAGAATCTTGGAGTGGCCCCCCACCAAAAATTATTGCCCACCCCAGTCTAGGTTGACTGGGTCCTGCTACAGCACATGGGCCTGGACTTGATTACTTCTCGAGGTCTCTTCCAGCCCTATGATTCAGCAGAGGTGCTGTAAGCGAGACCCAACAGGTCCGTCTGTTCTACTCAGCACTAATAAGGCCTCATCTTGAGTATTCTGTCCAGCTCTGGGCGCCACATTTCAAGGAGGACGTGGACAAATTAGTGAAAGTCTGGAGGAGGGCAACAAAAACGATGAACGGTCTATAACTGCTTTGAAAAAATGGGTTTGTCGACTAATCGAACAGTCGATGCATTTTGCATTTCAAAGGCGAAAGCGCCGTGTGGAGCCCCAGGGTCAGTGGGGGGGGACTCCCACCTGACCCCGACCCCGGGTCCTGTGGGGCACTGCCGCTTTGAAATGCCGTGAGAAGCCTGACGCCGGGCTTCCTGCAACGTTTCAAAGCAGCAGCGCCGCACAGAGCCCCGGGTCAGTGCGAGAGTCCCCAGCTGACCCCGGGCTCCATGCGGTGCTGCTGCTTCGAAATGCTGCGTGCAGCCCGGGGACACTCCAGCCGCGGCGTTTCAAAGCAGCAGCGCTATGTGGAGCCCCACGCTTCAAGCAGTGCTGACACTTTGAAGTACCCTCTTCGCTTCCCCCCCTTGCTGCCTCTTTCTGATAGAGGCAGCAAGGGGGGAAGCGACTAGTCGACTAGCCTGTTGACTATCCGATAAGCATTTGCTTACTGGATAGTCGACTAGTCCTTCACATCCCTATTATAGGCCCTTTGCCCAGCAGGATCAGTGTCAAAGGGCCATGTTGCAATACAGAATCGGCACCACACCCATGTTTTTGTGGCTCAGCTCTCTAAAAACTCCCGGTCTGCATGAGCTAAGGAAAAGACCGTGCTAACTGAGCCCTTCCCCAGATAATTCATCTCTTCTGCCATTTCCTCTGCCGCACAACGCGTCTCCGCAGAGCTGTGCTCTGCCTAACGCGAGCCCAGCCCTTCCCAAGAGTGCTAGGAAAGACGCTGGGCACAGTAGATCGCGCTTACCAAGAGGCCTTTCCCCTCACGTGTCAATTTACCCTCCTTTCCGGTGCCAGGCTGAGCGCCGACTCCGCCCTCAGCTTTGACGTGGCCTGCGACTTCCCGAGAATCGCCAGGAAAGGGAAGGTGAAACTGACCCGATGCTACGCGGGCCTGTCTGGAGGGGCCGTGACTTTTCTCCAAAGCACACTGTGCGCAAATCCCTGGTAAGAAGCTGCTGCTTTCCAGCTTGCGCACCCATGCACGGCCCAATTCCGCCCTCTTCCTGCTCGCTAGCCAGCTGCCGCACTGCCCCTCGCTGCGTGTCTCTAGCTGATCCAGACTCCTGTTGACGCCCAAGCTCTCTTCCTGTCCTAGGGGGCGGCCGTCGGCGTCGGAATGCCTCCAGTTGCCGTGGCTCCAGGAGACAGGCTTGGATGACCGACAGCAAGCGGTGGTCACTTTCTCCACCGGCAAGCTGAGGCGGTTCCTGGCCGAACGGGAGAAGAAAAGAAACCTGTTGTGTTCGAAGTATGGGGTGATGGTTGCCCAGTGAACTGGGTGGGGCCACACTGCAGACTCGATTCCCCCACCCCACCCCGCAGGCCCTGACTGATGTTTGCACTGGGGGTTTGGTACCTAGGTGTCATTTCTGGTGACAGATCTGCTGCAGTAAACCAATGACCCTGTTGCCTTAGAGAGAGATTAGGGAAGCGGGTCCTGTTAGAAAGGGGTGACTAGGAACTGGGTCTCCATCTGGCTTGGAAAATCCTTCCCTTGGTTGTAAGGCTGCACGTGACACTGCTCATTGAGCTCCCCACAAGCGCCACAGCCGCACAGAGATACCAGACCCCCCCCGCAGCCACCTCCAGAGTCCTCCCCTGCAACTGTGCTCATGGGATACCCTGGTCTTCTCGCCTGTCTCTCAAACCCGACTGGAGTCAGTCAACGATTTCCCTTGGGACGCAGCCCTGAGCTGGGGCTGGGGGAGAGGAGGCGATTGATCGACCGTGCCCCAGGTTGGAATCAGTGGGCACGTCTTCACTCTTGAAAAAAAATCCATTGTGCGGCCATCAGATGAAATAGGGGGTGTGTGTGTCTGTCGGCGAGGCAGAGTTGTCGGTAACTGCGGCTATCAGTAACAGGTGTCCCACAGGGCATCTGGTGTGTCTGTCACAGAATAGCTGGGACGAGAGTCGACATACACAATGAGCACGCACCAGGGACTGAACCCCGTGGGTAGTGCGCCATGTCTGAGTTCAGATAGGACCCCACGGTTGTCTGTGGGGATTGAACCCGAGAGAAAACAGGCCTCAGCCGCTCGCCCACAGAGAGAATTCTTTCATCCCAGAGCCCACAGCAGGCGGCAAAGCCAGCCACTAGAGGGAGCCATGATCACATGGCGTTACATGCACAATCTGCACATTACGGCAGACGAGACAGTAACTGGCCCAGGGAAGCCTCCCTCAGACCGGTCAGAGCACGACAGGCTGCGTCCGCTTCCAGTGGAAGTCAGTCTGGCACATACCTTGTACGGCAGGAGACACATGGGTCTGCCTGTTCCAAACCAGCCATTTGTGGCCATCTCCCTGCTCATGCAAGAGAAAAGGCCCTGAGATGGCCTGGATTTTTCAGTGGAAGACCAAATTAACCCTTTGTATGATGCTCCCGTGGAGACCCCAGATCTTGGCATCTCAGTCACAAGCCCATTTTTTTCTGCTATGTACTAGCAGAGGGGCAGAGTGTGCAGCATATATCACTGATGGGAAGGGGGTCCACACATGCCCCCGTGCATTGTGATATATGCAGTTCTGCTATGTACTAGCAGAGGGGCAGAATGTGCAGCATATATCACTGATGGGGGGGTCTACACATGCCCCCATGCATTGTGATATATGCAACGTGGACTAAAATCCCCACAGGTTGCTATTTACAGAGGTTATAACCACCCTGAATCTGAGCTTTGGGACATGTAGTTAAAGTCTCCAGTCCTTAGGATTAGAGGGCAAATATATCAGACACCTAGCAGCTTCAAGTGGCCTGAGCTTGCTTTGTCTGAATCTGTAGTCTTAAAAATGTACAACACGCTGCTAGGTATTCTGTGTTGATTTTGCAGTGTGCGACTCTAGTACATTGATACGGACTTCCAGAGAGTAGTAGCCCCTGCAGGGAAAAGCTTGGCACAGCTAGGATTTTAGAGTGAGCTGTTCTCTCACAGGAAGGACCCATGTGAGTGATGCTCGGGAAACAAACTTGTGTCCACACTGGGGAGAGTCTGTTCTGAATCTGTCAGGGCCGTACTTTGGGCCGGCAGGGGTTCATTGCAACGAACTCACTCCCCTGCCTGGCTTGCTGTTCTGTTCCTGCCGGGATGGTGTGCCAGAGGATAGGCCCACTACCTGGAGGAACAGCTCTGCCCTGGACAGACACCAGTTCCAGGGATGCTCGGGGGAGATATAACAAACCCAGGAATCTGCAGTGATGAAGTCAGAGTCATTATTCCTTAATGCCTTCCACAGCCTTTTTAATCAGCCACACCCTGCACACGCCTGTTCACGGATGCAATGCTTTCCATGGGCTTCTCTGACACAGCACCGCTCGCTTATGTTAGGCAGTCTGTTAGCAGTGCTTGCCTGCTGCTGGCTATTCCAGATACGTCCGGGTGTAGTGCCCCTGCTGAGCTGCTGAATGTAGGAGACACATCCAGGCGAATGTGCCTGTTATGCTGCTGACTGGTCTGGGACTAGCTAGGTGGAGCACGCTGCTGAGCTGCTGAATGTAGGAGACACGTCCAAGCGAATGTGCCTGTTATGCTGCTGATTGGTCTGGGACTAGCTAGGTGGAGCACAACTGCTGTGCTGCTGAATGTATCAGATGTGTCCAGTTAGAATATGATTGGTATGCTGATGAATGTATTGGGTGTAGCTACGTTAAGTGTATCTAGGTAAATCACCCCTATTATGCTTCTGAATGTATTGGGTGTATCTAGGTGGAATACCCCTCACCGTGCTCATGAACGTTCTAGGCACATCTAGGAGGAACACTGACATGCCGCTGAATGTTCTAGGTATATCTAGGCAGAATCCCCCAGTGCCTCTGAATGTTCTAGGAGTATCTAGGCAGAATATCCCCAGTACTGCTGAATGTTCTAGGAGTATTTAGGCAGAATATCCCAGTACTGCTGAATGTTCTAGGCACGTCTAGGCAGACTATCCACAGCGCTGATAAATTTTCTAGGCACATTTAGGCAGAACACTGACATGCTGCTGAATGTTCTAGATGTATTTAAGTAGAATGCCCCTATGCTGCTAAATGTTCTAGGTGTATCTAGGAACACTGACATGCCGCTGAATGTTCGAGGTGTATCTAGGCAAAATACCCCAGTGTTGCTGAATGTTCTAGGTGTATCTAAGTAGAATGCTCTTGTGCTGCTGAATATTCTAGGCGTATCTAAGTGGATCTCACCACTGTTCTGCTGAGTCCACACTAACTCTTCCATTATGAAAGATGTTAATAGCAACTCCTCTGCTTAGCAGGTGCACTGTATCCCATTGGTTAACCCCTGCTTTAACTGAAGCTCCTATTGGTACTAGCTGTACAGAAGTCAAAGGCACATGAAGCAACAATTACCTTGACCTCCTTAAGTATCGCATTTGCATATCTAGAAGCATCCTGCCACTTGGGCGCCTGGGCTGTTGATGTGTAGATCTTCTGATCTGTTTGTGAGATGTGGGAACAGAGTTGTTGGAAAACGTGTTTCAGTTTGATTTCTATATAGCGGCCACAAACATCCCAGAGTTTGGTGTCTTTCATTGTGTCTAAAAACTGTTGTGGGTTGTTTTCATTTACCTTTGGTGGTTGTAGCATTGTATTTCTTTTGTGAATATAATCTCTGCACTTATGTGACATGACTCATGCATCTACTGGTTCTCTTGTGGTCGGGTTTTTGCTCCAGATACCGGTTTGTGACTTTCATTGCCAACACTATGCAACAGGATGTTTTGCTCATAGTTCTGTAGCCTGAAGTGTTAAAGGGGATGGGAGTGGGACATCGGTTCCTAATGAGCTACCGTCTCATCAGATCATGGCAGAGAGATGCCACTTACATGGTGACAGCATTTTCAGGCATGCTGAATGCACTTTCGTAAGACCCTATAATGCCTAGCACTAAGGCTCCTTGTGATTCAAGCAAGCAGGCCCGGAAATGGGGCTGAAGTTAGCAGATGTGTAACTAGACTGGGGAGAACAGACACAGATTCAACAGACTATGAAGCCTCAAATTTCACATGTGTATCATTGTCATACACCACTGTAAGAAAGAGAGCTTAGGTTTTAGGGCCAAATTCTGAGCTGAATTCCTTTGAAGCTAAAGGAGTTACTTTGGATTGACACTGGTATCGCTTAGATCCCAATCTGGCCCTTAGATTTCCAAGGATACTGTCTTCCCTCCAACTTAATATCATGGCAATCAAATTTGCTTTTGATTAGCACACTCTCGTGCTTTGGTTTGGTTTTTAAGGTGGAGCGGGGTCAACAATGTGAAGGGGAAAATCACTCGAGTAAGAATTGTAATGGAGGTTAATGAATATCAAGACCTGGGCTCATACCCCTTCTCTTTCTTAGGCAATTCAAATTAACTGACTTTGCCTCTCTACCTTGCATGCGTTTTGAACATGCATTCAGAAGTCTGTTGTGCATTCAATACTGTTTTCTTAAATAAACTCTTTGGACAAAGAAGTTAGACCATAATTTTTGCTGTTATTGTTTTCATATCATTAGCGTACTGTGGCTTCCCAGCATCCCAGTTGGATTCAGGACCTTTTTGTTCTAGGCACGGGGCAAACACATCCTACATATCCTACTACTAGATCCTGCCATGAGGGCAGGGCGCTGGATGTGATGACCTGTCGAGGTCCCTTCCAGTTCTAGTGTTCTATGAGTCTATGATTCTACCTGGATGCCTGCTTTGGACTTTCCTTGGGATGATTCTTGCCTCCAAACCAGTCCAGTTCTAGTGTTCTATGAGTCTATGATTCTCCCTGGATGCCTGCTTTGGTCTTTCCTTGGGACGATTCTTGCCTCCAAACTATTTTGATTGCACCTCTTCCTAGTCTTACTGATGTATTGACATCATTCAAGTGGCAGTGGGGGAAAGTCTAGGTCGGATATTGGGAAAACTCGTTCCCTAGGAGAGAAGCTCTGGGATGGGCTCCCTAGGGAGGTGGTGGAATCTCCATCCCTAGAGGTTTTAAAGTCCCGGCTTGACAAAGCCCTGGCTGGGATGATTGAGTTGGGTTTGGTCCTGCTTCGGGCAAGGGGTTGGACTCGATGCCTCCTGAGGTCTCTGCCAGCCCTAAGATTCTGTGATTAATGCAGCAGACTAGTCTCACCACTGCCAGACACAGACGCACCAGCAAGCCCCCACGGTGTGTTGCAATGCCTCTGTACAGCCCACCTCTGGCCCCATTACTTGGTTTTGCTCTCAAGGCACAGCATCTGCTGGACGCACCAGCAAGCCCCCACGGTGTGTCGCAATGCCTCTGTACAGCCCGCCCTTGGCCCCATGACTTGGTTTTGCTCTCAAGGAACAGCATCTGCTTGAAATAAGGATGCTTGATCCTTGTGGGCACCTTCTCCGTAGTGAAGCCACACACCTGAGGGCAATCTAGCAGCTAAAACGATGTACCGTGGGAACCAGAGGTGGGATGGAGAATGTGAAAGCCTAATTCAAACCCTCCAAAACTGAATTATAGACTGTGGCATGATGAGACTTTTGCCTCTCTCAGTCCGTGGCAGCTGACATTGTCACAGAGCTCGCTTCAATCCAGCAACCCCACTTTGTACGCTGGCTGGCTCTGGGAATAAGCCCCCAACTTCGTGCTATCCTGGAGGGTCTTTAAAAACGAGGAGTTGTCCTGTGGCACCTTAGAAACTAACTGATTGATTAGGGCACCAGCTGTCATTGGAAACACCCACTTCCTCAGATGCATGGGAGTGGGAGTTACAGAGGCAGGAGTATTTACATAACCCTTCTGCCAGGTAGGCCTGGCAGTAACCAGGGCTGGCTTCAATATCTTGGGGTCCATCTCACACAGAACCAGCTCGAGCCCCCACCCAGTAATCTGGGAAATTCATACTCCCCTAGGTGCCTGTCCGGGACTCTAGCCCAGATGGCTCGGTTCATTGTCAGACCGCCAAGAGACAGGCAACACCAGCAAAGTCCAATCACAAGCTCTTTATTGAAGAGTGCACACAACAACAGAGAGCGGCCCATCTCTAAAGAGAACCAGCCTCGATTTTAGTAATAGGTAGGCTTATAAAGACAGTTCCGTCGCGTCATAAGCTCTTCACCCAAGCCACTTACCTCCCTTTCTAGGAACTTTTAATATCAATGAATATCTTAGCCAACTATACATTGTGGCCAGAAGCACTTCATAATGCATCAGCAACTTTCTTATCAAACCAGAAGGCAGGTACCAGGAACAAGGAGACAAAAGAGTTGGGTACAAACAAAGGGCAAAAAATAGGGAGGTAAGATTAGCGAAGGGGAACAAAAACAGGGAGTTTCTGACCAGTTCCCAAAGCAAGCCGCAGTAGGTACAAATATGTAATTTATCACTTATCTTAATTTTATAACCTAAGCCAGCATGGAGGGTACGCCTCTTTTTGAACCACTTTCCTGGTTCTGGTCAAGAATACTCAGAGGCTTATGAAATTAGCCTTTGTTAACTTTCCTTAGCATAATGTTGACCAGGCCTTGTTTTTCTGGGCCCAACATGCT